ATTCTTCACTGATTCCCACTTCCTCACGCGTATCATGGGAAATAATTAGAAACCTCTGGCCACATTCTCGGCTCGCCTTGTGCCTGTTCGTTCTCCTTCGCTGATCTGCCCACCACAGTCCACACACCACACGCCTCCTACCCCTCCCCACTCGCCTCTCATGGCCCGGCGCCCGGCCCCATCATAATCCCCTCCCCGCTCGTTCCCACCCGCTGTGGGCCCTCTCGCCGCCTCTCCGCTATGCGGCCCGTCACGTTCAGGTGTCCTCTCCCGACCGTGAATCACGGCGAGCGGCGGCGGCCGCCGTCCGCATTCAGAGTGGTCCCGGTAACTAGGCAACAGCGCCGCCGCCGACAATGTATGGCGCCGCTCGGCGCGGGCCAGCGTCGGATCGCCTCTGATTGCGGCGGCGGGACGAGCGGCCGCCGCGCTCGCCGGCCTCAGCACGGCGCCAGGTCCGGGCTGGGCGTGCGGCACGTGCCGAGGCGTGTTTGAGAGTCCGGTCGCGCAGCTCTCGCACCGCCGCCGAAAGGATTATGATCGGTAGCGCGACGGCGAAGTTAGCTAGGCTAGAGGACTTAGCATCAATAAATTAGTCGGATTAAATGAGAGATGTGATATTTGTCAGGAGAGCGACGACTGAGATTGCGTGCCATTTTCCCTGAGTGTCTGCAGAGTGCGCATGTGCGCGTCGTCGTCGTGTATCATGTCAAAACAACCCCCCATTGAGAATGTGGCGAGCGGGCACAAACTAAGCAATGCGACTAGTAAGTCGTCCCCCATCTACTTGGAGGAACACTAGTACAGCTAATATCAAGTTTGTTAAAGACTAACGGCAATGCCCGATGCGGCAAATAACTCGCCATGGAACATAAAAAAATTGTTCTTCTGATTATAAGGCATCGGGCATCAGCGTACGCTCAGTCTGTGTGCTGTGACAAATCATTACTGAGCCCATGCTCTTGCATGCCTCCTAACGCCTTAGTGGGGCAGCACTGCCAAACAACTACAGTCACACAGGAGATAGGAATAACGATGCGAGAATAAATGCCCTGAGGAGTTTTCGCAAGATCAATCACAGGCCAATGCGCCAGCAGCCGCCGGTCGAGCAGCCCCATGAGTCCAGGTGGAGCGGCTGCCCTGACCTCACGTCTCGGCCGCCAGACGGAAGTCTATCAGACGCAGTGTAATCCCCGGACGCCGGGACCGAGTCGGCCTGAGCTCATCACTAAACATGAGCGGCGTCGCGCCGGCCGTGCCGCTCGCTCCGCCTCGATTATTCATGGCACGCCCCACACGCCGCCGGGTAAACACGTGTCTAATAGGCACGTGCCAATAATCATTCACCACCACATCTGTCAGAGTAAATTATCACTTGCAGCGGGCGCGGTCGCGGATTCGGGTAGTAATTATCACATTATTGTTTCAGTGAATGAGAGGACGGGCTCGGCAGGCAGCTGCCGGCGTCTGCGGGCTCGTCTGACTGGCATGCGGCCGACCGGTGTGTACCTATGCGAGTGAGCCGGGATATACCAGGAGCTGATCAAACAGGGGGCCGATGGGCGGCGGCTCGGCCCTGGTCCTGGTGTTTGCTGATGTCCCGGTTGTTAACCGCCGAAGACAGCTAGACACATCACGCACCATTAGATGATCATTACAGCCACACAAATGCAACATGCATGATGATGGTCGTTGGCGGGCGCTCTGTCAACATAAAATAAGATGCATGTGGCACCGGAATATAATCAGCCGGGGTGATTGAAAGGCCCATGACAGTAAGTATACGTATACCCTCAGAGGTGTAGTGGTGCGTAATTTGGTTCGGACATGGCGGAATATCAGTAATTAGTCTGGGACTGTGTCGTCCAAAGGGACACTAGCTGCAACGCTTCATCAATACCTTTCGGAATGCAGACTGAAATATTATGCCAGGCCAGAGCATTGCTTTGCATGATGATACTCCCGTGCATGGTGTCTGCGGTCCTCAGTTAACTACGTTAACTGAGGCAACGAGACTACGTTGCCCTAAACTTTGTTTATGATTACATTTCTTGTCTCGTTTCCCTTTCACTTGTGTATTGTATTGTGGACTCCAGGTCAGGTCAACTCCTCAGATTCCATAGGACGTAAGAAAGCGCAGCTCAAAACGTAAAGAAACAAAAAAAAACCGATCGTGATGGACGCATAACGTTGAAGATTCTTTCCAAAAACCAAAGATTAATTTTCTGGCCTAACGACTCAAATTCATAGGTCAGGGAGCTTGTCCTGCGGAGATGTTTATTGGCGACGCGCCCTATCGACCAGTCTAGTGGCACTCGGCTGCAAATCGCTTGAACGGCTTCTGATGATGTGACACTGGGGATATGAGCTATTACATACAACCTCATATGGCCCCATCGCGAATATTCAACAACCGAATATTCAACAACAACGCTCTACTGAGCTCACCGACTCCCTACAGATTCATCGTGAGCACCCCTGGCGGCGGAGGGCCGAAGCTCGCTGCTCCCTCACCCCGCGGCTCTAATGGTTTTATCAATATTCATCCTCCAAGCCGCGACTAAATGGCGCCGGACACGTAAGCGTCCGTCGCCGACCGGCCTCCCCGCCCCGATGTGTGGGTCGTAGGAAACGATCTGAGGATGGCTGTCGGAAAACGACAGCTGAGGGTGACTGTCGGGAAACGACAGTTGACCGAGGCGGCAGCGCGGCGGGGTGCCCGACCGGGCCGATGTGCTGGTGGTGGGCGGGGCTCCAGACGGACAGAGACATGCGGCGGGGCTGGATAGCCATACAGCCGCATCGACACCAGCACAAAGCTCTCGATGGAGACATGGGAGACAACCATAGGCAGAGTCCCGGAAATGAATAAGGGTGACTGGGAGAGGTGGAAGCACATTGTGAGTCAAGTTGTTAATGTGCCACAGAACGGACGCAAAACTGTCCCCAAGAGTTCGCGGGGACAATGGTACGTTACATAGAGGGTGGTGGACCGCTCGCTGCCTGTCTCCCTCGGGTTAAGTCAATTGTTTATTTAGACCAAGATGCTTTCATATGCGAGGGAATCTGTGACAACGTTTTGGCTACAAAAGGGCTGTCGGCGTGGTCGTACTTGAGCATAGTATGTGCCTGGTGCGGGCTCTTCAATGACGTGTTCCTCGGGACCAGTTTTTGAGACCATGCGCAGCTTGTAGGCAGTCGTTGATGATGATGATGATGATGATGATGATGATGATGATGATGATGATTGGCGTCTCAGGGCGCCCTAACAAATAAGGTCATTGTGTCTCTGTTGGACTATCGAACAGGTGTATACGTGAAGCATTGCTTTTCATTTCATAAGACATTGTGGGGTCATTTTACTTCGTTGTGACATTGTATGCTCAAGAATGAACTACATTTCAGACGTGTCCGCAGCATACATTCTCCGCCGACACTGTGGCGATAGAAGAAATCAAGGGCTCCAAACAAGTAAACAGCGATTTGCTAGCACCCACGTCTCAAGGCCTTGCATAGTCAAAACGTCGAAGTCGCCAGGCACGTAGCCAGAATTTGATCAAGGGGAGAAATATCAAATGTAAAGTTTTCTCCAGTACAGTAGTGCGTATTAACCGTGACCGTTGTCATGGCTACCCACGCAGAAAACCCTCAAAGCTTTGCTGCGAAACCCTGATGAATAAATTGACCATTTGCAAACCCACCTGTTCAAGGGAGTGCTCAACAGTTATATGGGGTTTTGAACTGAAACAGGCACTCTGAAGACCTTTCGTTGCTGCTCACAATCCTGCCCTTCTCAAGTCCTCAGTCCGTCTAGTTTCTGAACTATACGCCCGCAAAAATGGGTGAGTGTATAACGGAGAGATTGTTTCAAAGTCACTTGGACATACATGGTGTAATAAGAACGGCGTTCAAAAACAGTCTTTCCATAATCCGTGCGGTGATCAGGGCCAAGAAAAATATAATTGTCGAGGCGTTCACGTCTGGCGTTTGTGAGCGCAATCTCCGGGTGTAAGGACTGTCAACTGGCTCTCAATCAATGTTGTGCACAGCACGATGACGTAATCAAACCATGGCGCATAGAGGGGCATATTAACTAAACAGAGAATTGTGGTGTCTAGATCAGCTTTTTCCACTTAGTATACCCATAGTTATAGGTGAGCTTGTTTCGTCATATCTCATGCTTATTTCAATATCTTTAAATATGAACCATCCCCTTTAAGCAGAGCTTTGCTGCTGGTGCTATATATGGCTTTGCTGGTGCGTAAATAACTGTCAGGAGTACAGATCGAAACCGGTAGGCGGTCGATGACTTCACGGCCCACGACAGCCTGTATCTACTTTCTGTCACCTCGCAGGTTCAATCATTTCGACATGGTAACAACATTCTATAACGTTGATGTGCTGTGTATAGTGCATTAAAAATAATCGTCTGTACCAAACCCAGGCGGCAGTCAAAACACGGGAGCCCCAACACGTGCAAGACCCGCTGCACCCCGGCCGCGTGGGGAGGCAGCAGTACCGCACAATCCTGTACAGGTGGCAGCACTAGCCCAACTGTGCGACCGTACCGGACCGATCCGACCAAATGCACACGCCAGTCCTTGGCAATTAAAAGACCCGCGCTCGCACCTTACAACATATTTAGTTCAATCATATGATATCTGGGATAATTCCGATGGGCCTAATACAATGAAAACGCACGGAGTTGTGCAGGAAAGTGTTCCACTGCACGATACATGTTCCCTTCAGTTTGATGCAAGGCACATCAAGTCTCAGGGGCGTAGTCCCACAACATACGCTGGGGTTCCTGAAGTGAAATTTAAAGCAAACAACCGCAAAAACGCGCCAGCAGAGGAGTCCTCCCTGGACTTGGCCCACTTTTCCCTGAAAGCTGGGGGACCAAAGCGAAAGTTGGGAGGCCTCCCCCATACCGAACAAGAATCTCCACCCCAGGCAAGGCTCCTTCCCTCTGCCGCGATTTGGCCCCAGAGACAACATTCGACGGTGATGGCTTTATTGTACGATGTAAAAACTACTCTGTAGAGCACGGGACAGACGTACACTTGTGTATGTGTGCGGTGTGGTCGGTAGGCGGCGACGGCACGCGGCAGGCCCACCAGCGGCGGCCTCTGGATGCGGCGCCGCCCCGGCCTGGTCTACTCATCTAAAACATGCGGCCGGCCGGCCGGCTCGGCTCCGCCCGGCTCCACCGGGCGGCGCTAATGAGAATGACGCGGGGCGCGGCTAGAGGAAGTAGTCCGGCTGCGGCGTTTTGGACGGCACGCCGCGGCTCTCTTTGGGTGCCGCCTCGAAAATCGTGAAGTTGCGCCGCAGGTGTTCGTCCAGCTCCAGGATGGCGGCCACGTTACCGCACCTGGAGAGCGGCCGAGGCCGGAGGCGAGGTCAGCAGCGGTCGGTAGTGGGTCAGAACGGGTCAGCAGGGAGTCACCGTCGGCCCCAGCCATTGGTCCCCAGGGACTGGCTTAACACCCGTAAAGACGAACATTGCCCACCATATGCCGCCATAAGTCAAAACAGTTCACCATACGACACGTACCACATCAGTCATCAGCTGATGTCAGTTCCGGTCAGAATAACCACGCCAGATCCGCATGCACGCTCCACCCAGCTAACCCCATAAATAAAACCAGTCGTCACTTGCTAATCTGATAAGCCCAATTAGTTAAGCCATCAGATCAAGGACTGCCAGCACCAGTGAAAAGTGGCACCTTCAAGGAAGTGTTCCACATTTGTATGGGGTTTCGAACTAAAACAGCTATCATGAAGATCATTCGAAGCCGTTGACAGCGATACCCTTCTTAGGACCAAGGACCCCAGAGTTTCTGAGCTACACACCCGCGCCGATTTACGGACCATGTTGCGCAGGCCATTCCTAGCCCATAAGTTGTGCATAACGCCATAACGGCATCACCTGAATCCTGTCATCACATAGGCTATGCGGTGTTCAAATCGGCCAAAGAGGACGTTATCATTAAATCTTCCAGACTTGTCGTTCCTGGGCATGACCTCCAAATATACTGGACCCCAATTAGTTTGCAATCCCCGTTCAGCAAGCTACGCAACTGTCATATGTTACCAACCAACTTAAGAAAAGTGCCATAAATGAGCCTGTAATACAATCAAACTTCTTAGGCTAACGGATAAATATGCGGAACACTACGAAAAGGGCCAAAACAGAAGTGTGTAACGATATTTGGCTCAGTGAACACTTCCAGCACCGTCCTGCGGCCTCTCGGCGAATTTGACGTATTACAAGTGAGTACTACCGTGGCCATTTCTCACGGCTAGTTTGGCAACACCTCACCGTTACAAAGGTTCCACGACGCAGTCAAACAATGACGCAACGTTCAGAATATTTACTTAAAGTACAAATTGTGTTGCCTAGAGCAGTCTTTTCCACTCAAAAGCATACCAGTTGTTATAAGCGATCTTATTTCATAATAACGTTTGCTATCTGATCAATATCTTCAACTGTTGAACATTCTCTTTAAGCCACAAGATTGAAACACAACTGCATCCCGATCAGGAGGGGCGGACACCAGTGAGTCACCTTACTCCAGCTTCTGTCCATAAGGTAGGCTTCCATCATCACCCCGCTGCTACGAGCAAGACAAGTGTAGTACAGTAACTTAGGGCCGTTCATTATTGACGTACATCCCAAGAAAAGACACGTTGTTCTGGCCTCCAATTAACCTAAAGATGAGGAGATGTAATGGGCGCATCTTTTCTTATGACAGGAGCCAACTGCATCCGAATCTAATGTTTGATATTCCTTTTAAATATGCTAGCATGATTTGCGACCACACCTAAGCGAAACAGTATGCTGTCCAATTCCTCCCTTGTTGTGTTTCTGTTACACTCCATCAGTCCGTCTCCCTTTGTAACGGTACTCATGGGCAGTCCCTTAGACTGTCTCCAACTTGGTGCAACCGACGCAGACATGGTCCGGATTTGCTAACGGTGTGGTTCAGCTTACACTTCGCATGAAAACCACACCCAGCATACAATACGCCAGAAGCTTCTTCGTCGCATGATGTGGCCGTCCCGTTTAATTGATGTTGGTTTTGAAGCCGGTGCAAGCACCGCGCACAGTCCGCCTAGCGAGCCCTGACCGGTAGCAGTAGTTTGGCGCGGACCAGACGGTGAGCACGGTGTCGTCAAAGTGCCACTTGTATCCCTCCATGACGAGCTGGTGGGCGCGGCAGATCATGTCCACGTTGTTGTTGCGGTTGAACTGCTGCACCACGTCCGAGCCGAACAGGTAGCCGGCACCGCGCGGGCTCACGCCCCAGCCCTGCCGGCCGAGGCAGGAACACCGCAGCTCAGAGACGTGACCCCAGGGGCAGCACAGGTCACAGGTGTGAGGGGTCAGCGGGAAGGCCATCCGAGTCCAACAGGCCGGGGGAGGGTCACCGCAGCTCAGAGGCGTGACCCCAGGGGCAGCACAGATCACAGGTGTGAGGGGTCAGGGAGAAGGCTATCCGAGCCCAGCAGAGGTGGCTAGTACCGCGCGGACTCACGCCCCAGCCCTGCCGGCCGGGGCAGGGACACCACAGCTCAGAGACGTGACCCCAGGGGCAGCACAGGTCACAGGTGTGAGGGGTCAGGGAGAAGGTTATCCGAGCCCAGCAGAGGTGGCCGGCGCCAGGCGGACTCACACCCCAGTCCTGTCGGCCGGGAGGACGGCTGTGGGGAGAGGGGGGTCATAACTATTTAGGGGGTGTGTGCCGTGGGAGAACACAGCTGACAGGCCTCACTGGGTCGATCACGGGACACTAATGAGCATAACGATACAACGTGGGAGAATACAGCTGACAGGCCTCACTGGGTCGATCACGGGACACTAATGAGCATAACGATACAACGTGGGAGAACACAGCTGACAGGCCTCACTGGGTCGATCACGGGACACTAATGAGCATAACGATACAACGTGGGAGAATACAGCTGACAGGCCTCACTGGGTCGATCACGGGACACTAATAAGCATAACGATACAACGTGGGAGAATACAGCTGACAGGCCTCACTGGGTCGATCACGGGACACTAATGGGCATAACGATACAACGTGGGAGAACACAGCTGACAGGCCTCATTGGGTCGATCACGGGACACTAATGGGCATAACGATACAACGTGGGAGAACACAGCTGACAGGCCTCACTGGGTCGATCACGGGACACTAATGAGCATAACGATACAAACGTGGGAGAACACAGCTGACAGGCCTCACTGGGTCGATCACGGGACACTAATGAGCATAACGATACAACGTGGGAGAACACAGCTGACAGGCCTCACTGGGTCGATCACGGGACACTAATGGGCATACGATACAACGTGGGAGAACACAGCTGACAGGCCTCACTGGGTCGATCACGGGACACTAATGGGCATAACGATACAACGTGGGAGAACACAGCTGACAGGCCTCACTGGGTCGATCACGGGACACTAATGAGCATAACGATACAACGTGGGAGAACACAGCTGACAGGCCTCACTGGGTCGATCACGGGACACTAATGGGCATAACGATACAACGTGGGAGAACACAGCTGACAGGCCTCACTGGGTCGATCACGGGACACTAATGAGCATAACGATACAACGTGGGAGAACACAGCTGACAGGCCTCACTGGGTCGATCACGGGACACTAATGGGCATAACGATACAACGTGGGAGAACACAGCTGACAGGCCTCACTGGGTCGATCACGGGACACTAATGGGCATAACGATACAACGTGGGAGAACACAGCTGACAGGCCTCACTGGGTCGATCACGGGACACTAATGGGCATAACGATACAACGTGGGAGAACACAGCTGACAGGCCTCACTGGGTCGATCACGGGACACTAATGAGCATAACGATACAACGTGGGAGAATACAGCTGACAGGCCTCACTGGGTCGATCACGGGACACTAATGAGCATAACGATACAACGATATAACGTAAGTGGGATGGGGCTCTTCGTTGAAAAAACAAAAATGACCTGTCCATGCCAAATGTGTGACATGTAAATATAAAAACAAACGACACAAGCACTGCATCGACCTGTGATTAGAACCTAAGCTTAAGGCACAGCATTGATGCATTTGCTGTAACTGAAGTAGCACTTCACCACAACAGGTCGTCTGGAGATAGTCCCCACCATGGCATAACTATCTGGTGGTTTTATCGTTCACAAATATGACGTCTTCGTAGAAGGAGGTCATGCTCCACGCGCAGCCGGGTAGCGGGCCTGATAACGACCGGCAGACAGATAAGTCGTATGGCCCGACAGCGCTGGAGCCGAGCGTCGCACAACGCGAGGACTATCCGAGTCGGCCGCCGGCATGGCGCTGTTCAACGTTCAGGATAGATGGCAAACATCAATAAATAGGGCGCGAGATAATCCAAACGACACGTTGGAAGGCAAAAATATTGCATTCTGAGGAAAATCGGCCCGTCGGGATCGGATCACCTCCTAAGCGGTGCCAGGGGGGGGGGGGGTCACACTTGGTCAGCGGCCAGCGACCTGCCGCTCACCGCTCTCCAACAACGCCATTGACTGCACACCAGACACTTGAGCCCGACACCTGTGGCGACTTTTTGTGCAGACAATGCGCGACGTGATGGGCACAGGTGTCAGTGTTTCGTGCCGTCAAGTGGAGCACCAATGCGGCGCTCTATGTTGCGCACCCAAAGAAAGTCAGCAGACCGAAAGATCGAAAAAGGTGGAAGTGCGAGAAGAGCGAACAGGAAGACAAGCCTACCAGGACCGACATGCACCTACACCAACCACAAATCAGCAGATCAGCAGTGTCACTAACCTGCATGTCGTCCGGGTCGGACAGAGCAGGTCGCACATGGGGCCGTCGTGTCACTGACCTGCATGTCGTCCGGGTCGGACCAGAGCAGGTCGCACATGGGGCCGTCGTGTCACTGACCTGCATGTCGTCAGGGTTGGACCAGAGCAGGTCGCACATGGGGCCGTCGTGTCACTGACCTGCATGTCGTCCGGGTCGGACCAGACCAGGTCGCACATAGGGCCGTCGTCACTGACCTGCATGTCATCCGGGTCAGACCAGAGCAGGTCGCACATGGGGCCGTCGTGCGGAACCTCCTGTTTCCGGTCGATGGTTCGGATCTGGTCCAGCGTGTTGATGGTCGGCGACAGGCCGCCATGTACGCAGAATATCTGCCGACGGGCGGGCGGTCATCGGCCAGCGGACGCCAGTCGGCCGCGCCGCGTCGCACGGAGCGCAACGGCACGCGAATACCAGAGGGGACCACCGAACGGGACGCCAAGGGGCGAGCCTGAACACGTCATCTCGGCGTCCTGCTACCGTGCCGACAGGGGGTGCACAGCGCCGTGCGCAGCCATCACTGGGCCTTCGTGCTTAATGTCCGCAGCGCATTCGTTACGCGGATGAAAGTCCCGAAGATCGGCACGTCGAATCGGGACCACAGTAGACACATGTAGTTCATATGGAACCATGAGGTTTGAGGCGTCCACATTCACACCAACCCAAGAGCGCAAACAACGTCCCGTCTGCCCCGCGCCAGCACCCGACATGCTAAGTACCCTTAGCGCGCAATATTGTACAACCCCGCAGCTACCGGCACTGCCAGCGTCCGACCTTGCCGTCGATGATGGCTGACAGGCTGAGGAAGTCGAAGATCTCGGTGCAGTAGCGCCAGACGGTGACGCTGCCGTACTTGCGCAGGCACTCCTCGTAGAAGCCGTACACCTGGGTAATCTGGCGCGACTCATGGTTGCCGCGGATTAGCGTTATCCGGTCCGGGTACCGCACCTGGCCGGCGGCACAAAGCCATCACCAACGCACACACACACGCACGCACGCACGCACGCACGCACGCACGCACGCACGCACGCACGCACGCACGCACGCACGCACACACACACACACACACACACCCCTTTTGGTGCACGAGAGCCAGTGAGGCGACGGGGCATGGCCATTGTGAACAGGCGGCTGACGTGGCATCAGCACGTGACAGAGCGTCACGGGCATAGCCAACGTAACAACGCGCTCTGCCAGGTTCTGCGGAGTGCCACACGTAAGTGAAGCTCGCTGACCGCTACATCCGAAATCTACACACCATCCGACCTGGATTTCCCACGAGGAAGACAATGGCATCCAGTGCAGGTCTAAGTGCGTGAAGCAGATATTCAGATTAGCAACGGCACAAAATGTTTGCACAAGTGGTGTTCGGATTAGACTACTCGCTAACAACTGACTGTTGCACGGAGCTGAACAATAACTATGTCATTTGAGAGGTCTGGCAGTGATTATCCCGTCACGCAGTTGCGACAGCTGCCTTTGGTCCAGGCGTCTTGCCTCACCACGTAAATACGACGCCCTAGGCTAGAGCCGATCCAAGTGGCGACCCAGCGCGTCTGCCACTTCTTTTGAGACCGAAATCGTGTACAGGGCCGCAATGGCAATGGATCTGGAGCTGCCTCGGCCGCACTGCAGCTCCAGAGGTCAAACATGTTGATAGGATTGTAGAATACACTTTTGAAAGTGACGTGATCCCGTTAAGACGATTGGACAATATTTCAAAGCTTGTATAATACACAATGTGCAATCTTTCAGAGAAACAGATATCCAAAAAGTTGGTAGCCTCTTGATTAATGCAGTACCTTGTTGGTCACAAGTAGGTTCCCCGTAATGCAAAAATGCAGCCCAGTTCTAGTCTTACCAAAGCCTTGTGGCAGGGGACACCAGACACACTGGTATGTTCCCTATGGTGGCACTTGTAGGTCCACAGCACTATGGCTTAAGATGAAAAGTTAGACATATATGACAATATCACTTTCAACACACCATTTTCACTATCAACAAACCTTGAGGGCCAGCAAGAGCAGGAATGTCTCAACACTGTAGAATCCTCGATCGACGAAGTCACCCATGAACAGGTAATTTGTATCAGGAACATCACCACCAACTTTAAAGAGCTCCTTCAAATCATAGAACTGGCCATGGATATCTCCACACACCTGAAAAAGATCAAAGACATCTCAGTAACACAATTGTATCCATATCTGTGATATGTGATGATGTAGCATGATGATGTGGATAGCAATGCCTAAATAAAGAGCCATAAGTACAATATGGCTATCAAAAAGATGTGTTCATGATGCAAAAGAGATGCTGCTCCATGATATCATGATGCTATACAAACATTGCTCCGCAATAAAGAACATAATCAGTGCAGCAGTCCCAAACCACATCAAGACAAATTATAACAGCAGGGCAGCTTATCACAAAGCATATTACAATATCCACAGATTTTTACTCACTGTGACAGGTGAATCCACCCTTTGTACATTGCTTTCCTCAACCAAGATCTCTCTTGCTTTCGCACAGAGAGCTTTAACTTCTGACTCCTTAATGATCTCGCATCTTCTTAGCTGTTCTATCTGTCTATCCAGGTCACTGGTATCACACATCCCCACTGCAACAGAGGAAGCCAGGTCAAAGACAGGTCTGCAGCATTCATCAGTAATATTAGCTTTCTCCAAATCTTGAATAGCCCAAAATTTCGACTTGAAGTAGCCGACTCAACCGAACAAATCCGATTTGACTACATGCACATCACTATGAGAGTAATACATTCCATCTGCCTTGCTTTTTCCAATGTGTGTTCTGTGTTCTTGCTCTTCCAACATGTGTTGTGTACTTGCTTTTTCAAACATGCGCTCTCTGTGGTTGCTTTTTCCAACGTGTGTCCCGTTGTTGCTTTTTCAAACATGTGTTCTGCATTCTTGCTTTTTCGAACGTGTGTTTGACACATTACCGCGTTACAGTGGCTCCTTTCCAGACACCCTTTGGCTTTGAGAATGAGAGCATCACTTAATCCATATAACACACTGGATCAAACTTTAACCGACCAACTTCTCTGTAACACACCCTAGCCTGCTGGGCATAGCTGCAAGGCATTGACAGTGTAATTTGGACACAACAATAAGTAAATTCACATCATTACATCTTGACAGTGCTGTAATGGAACCACCCACTATTATAGACATAGCTAGTCCTGACATTTCACTAGTGTGTTTTTGAAACATACCCCAAAGGTGGGTAATCCATTGAATGGGAATGAAACTGAAGATAATGAAATGAAGATAGTGAGGCAAGCTTTAGATATGATGAAATAAGCTCACTTATTATTGGCATGCTTTAAGTGGAAAAGATCGCTCAGGACAGCACAATAACCGTATTCAGTAAATATGCTCTTAAATACATTATTGTTTGATTGGAGTATTGTGCCTTGCAAAACATTGATTGAGGGCCCGTTGACGCCCGCTACGTCTGTGAATCGTGTTCACGAACGCCAGACATTAACGACTCCGCAATATTCGCCTTGCCCTTGACTAACACATGGACAATGGGATGACAGGATTTGAATGACATTATTATGGCAATGTGGATGTCTGGATGACCTTAAAAAAGTCTGCACATCATCGCGAACACGTAGCTCAGAAACTAAACAGCTTTAGGTCTCATGCAGGACAGGGCTGTGAACTGCAGGAAATGATTTTCAAGGTGGCTCCTTCAGTTTAAAATCCCATACAAGTGTGGAATGCTCCCTTTAAGTACATGACTTGTGCAGATGCTGTCAATGCCACCCACACTGCCCAAGTCACCAGAAGTGCACTTTTCACTGGGCACCTTTACCAAACAGTACTGGGGAACTGAATATACCTCACAGCTCAGCATTACAACATGGCCACAGTCTAGTGTTTTGTCATACTTTGAGCATCCACACACTTAAAAGGCATGGATGAAAATACTGCTTAAAAATTTGGCTTCTTGAAGCCACTGCTATCCTCTAACCACTTTGACTCACTTTAATGGTGTTATTCAAGTGAGACACAGAGTATTTTAACTCACACACTTACTCACTTTTACATAAACCCATTGCTCAGTCAATCAAATATAAACAAGTTGTCATTAGGGCAGTGCAGCAATTTTGTAGATCTTATGGTTTTAAAATCACTTCTCATTAACAAAGCATATCATAAGTGTGCATACATCCTAATTTCCTTCCATGCATAACATCTGTGACGTGATGTAACAATATGTCTTCAATGTAGCCTTGTTCCCTGATCATTGTACAACAAATGTGTTGCACATCCCGTACTGATGATACTCAAAGGCTTCTAAATGATGACCCAATAATTTATAGATGCTGATAGCAACTGCTGCCTTATCCATGACATTTTTACATGCCACACTAAATTACATTTTTCCTGCCTTGGCATATTTGGCTCAGATATCAGACCACTTTGATCACTCGCAGCATGCAGTTGTTGCAGCCAAATACAACTGATTTCTTTTTAGGCACGCATAACTTCATTTGCCTTTTTTCATAGATGCATTCTGAATGGTTTGCTTATGGGGTTTTTGGATTCAGAGCATCTGCTTAGCATATCTTGAATGTACCCTGAATGTACCCTAAATCTACCACCAAAATTGTGCCACCCACCAATCAATTTTGCCTCTGACCTGGCTCTGGATTTTCCCTCCACCCTCTCACAAGACAGAAATGTGGAAGGCTGTATGTGCTCCACAATGCTGCACCACTGCTGCCTGAGCCCTGGATTGGCCCTCATTGCCAATTGCTAACTGACCTTTACATTTCAGATGGACTAACACAACATACCTGCTCAGGTCCAGCATCATCCCTAGACCACAAAGCTGGATATCTTCCTCCCATTATTGACATTATCTTTCACCTGATACAGCCAGAACCAACATAATTTTGGAAGTAACTGAGGTTATTTGCATTATGCTAATGTATACACCAATATTTTATGGATTCTGCACCTGCATGATATTGGCAGTGTCATATGCATGGCACAGCTATATCTTATTGATAAAAATTATTTCAATTCCCCTTTCTAACATACATATGCAAATTTGAACATCAATGTTTTAAAATTAAAGTGCATTTAATTAGTCCTTTTATTTCCTTTTTCAGGCCTCCAAATCCGGCATCTACATACCAGTGCCTTGAGACCCAGGGGCCACATTGCAAATACATGTCACATAGTGCATGTCCCATGTTCCTGTTAGCCATCACAACCAACATTCTGCACAAATCCATACATTCAAGTGCTGATAGTTTGGTACACTGTGCCACTGATTCAGCACTTAAAGGGCCAATGTTTCAAGGAGTTGTGATGCTTGAAAGAAAACTGGACATCAAACTACCAAAAAACAATCATTTGCACATGGGTAAGTTGAAAATTCAGCACATTGTGACCTGGCTAGAGTTTAACTAACCCCGGCACTGTGGTGCACCAATGACATGTAGAAGTGGTACAAGTGTACGCCTGGTGGGTGTCCACACAGTGGATATGTTCTTTGAAGGCCGGCCAGGGGGCAGATGCTTGGTGAGCGTGTGCCTGGGCATGTTGGTGTACCAGGTTGTTCACTCACAGTTATTTTTGTTTTAAAACTGCCATTTAATTGCTCCTTTATAAAAACACAAAAATTATATTAGGTGGTGGGTGCAACAAAGTATATTAAGTTGGTTCATAATGCATGCTGATAATGTGTTATACAAATGCTGTAAATATGTCTGCTTTAAGATATTTGAGCATCTCCTTATGTTATTCACACACAAAAATTGACTAGTGTGAGAGATCATAGGGTGTGGACTGTGCCAAGCATTGCAACACATGAAACTTGTGTCACTTAATGTTGTCATTCACCTGGAATTTCATGATTAGTGATGGACAGCACTGGTGCAACAAACCATGCTTAGCATGAACTCTGATCTCAAAACCATCCTACCAAATTGTTCTAATGAGAAAAAAAAAATCATTGAATCACCCAAATGTCAAACAGCACTGACATCCCACATCATGGTTACCTTTGTTCTTGTTTTCCAATCTTCAACTAAATTGCATGGATGCTTATCAGCACCAGGGTGACTGATAGCGCGTGAATATTTATAACAGGGCTGAATGAACAATTCAAGCACAATGCTCAGCAACAAGGCCTGAGCAGAGCTGGTTGGTTTGGTTGCTCACACGATAGTCCTCAGTCCAAAGAGCGTTTGCCTCAGGTCAACGTCCTTCCACCGCCAGACAATAAATAGGTTGACTCAACGGGCAGCAAATACGTTCCCTTGGGACTTGGTTTTAATAATAAGTAACTACCACAACTTCCTCGAACACGAAATGGCTAAATAATACCACTGAAAGACCGCGCCCGGCCACCCCTCGGCACGCTCAGGCTAACTTGATTCGAGTGATGCAGTGACGCACAGATCGCGGTGATGCAAGCAGCTTGCGGCAATATCTTAAGCTGGAGCGCCATAAATGTATCTCTTGCACGGGGAAACCCTTCATTTTCGTCAACGGCTGGTGCTTGGTAAGATTTTGATGACGTCAAAGATCTTAAAGTCAAGACTCTGTGTTATTGGCCTTTTTGCTGAAAAATAAGAGCAGTAGACAGTCACAAAAAAACAAATGAATATTCAAAGAAGGAAAATCGTTTGCGTCCCACGACTAGTTGTGGGCAAGGCACTGTCGTCATTTGTGTCCAAGATACCATGGTGGTCCCGCAGGGCACCGGCTTCGGTCGCTGTAGGGGACTAGCGCTCCCTCGGGTCCCAGATCCGGTAACGGTTGGACAGCGCAAGCTGTTCCTCTCAGGGCGTAGCGACCCTGCCGGCACGTGAGCTTCCCCTCCCTGTCCCACTCGCTCCCTTCCCATCACCCACTTTCCCGTATTCGGCCCACTCATCACTCCTAATCCTCGTTTTATCGGGGTCTCCGTGCCCCCTCGCCCGCGTCCTCGGGTTGATCGGATCCTGATGGCCCAGGGGCGCGTCGTGCGGGTCAGTCACGGTGCGTCCCAACACTTCACTTCGGCCGGGATATCCGGGGGTGTGGGGGGCCCGTGGGGCCCCACACGGGTCTAGCTGCTTGTCGCTCGCGCTGCGGTTGGGTGCTCCGTGCGGGTCTCCGCTTGGGGCACCTGGCCGTGCGCAGCGGCTTAAGGGGTCAGGGGACGGCGGTGCTGAACCACGATCAGGACGGGGAGGTGTCTCCCCGGTTACCCTGGCCGTCTGGGAGGCGTCGTTCGCTCCGTATAACACCGGGGTAGCCTTAGCGGTGACCACCTCCGGAAGGAGTGTTGGGTCGTCCCCCATGTGCGCTCCGCGGTGGGTGGGGAGCCCTGGTGCCGAAAGAAAAACCTACTTTGCATGACATCCTCCAACTGCAAAAACACCCGTCCTCCGAAGGGGGGTCGGACCACGACAACCCAAGGGTGCAGAGAAGACTCTGTTATCCCCGGACCACGGATCCTCGCCTTTGAAAGTGATGACGTTAGGTTGGCGTCCCTGTCACCGTTTCAGAGACGAAATGGCTGCAACGGATTAGGAAAAATTATCAGATGCGGCAAGCTCGGGGATGGAAAAATCGAAGTTGAATTTGCTAGTGGCTTGGAGGTGTGTCTGGTTACGGAAGCAACTGAATTTGCGTAGTGTTCGAGATGGTGCTGGTAAGCGGAAAAAAACAGTGTCAATGTCAGCGACACCACACAACACCATAAATTCGTCCAGGGGTGTGGTCAACTGTTTTGATCTGCGTGACGTTGACGAGAAGGAGATCGCGGAGGAGCTGTCGGAGTTTGGAGCGACAGCCGCTCGGCGGATTCTTTTCAGAAGGGGAGGAGAGTTGGTGCCCACCAACAACCTCATACTCACGTTCAGTCGCCCTGACTTACCGTCCGAGATACGTGTGGGATACGTCCGCGTGAAAGTTCGTCAGTTTGTGCCTAACCCCATGCGGTGCTATCAGTGCCAGCGATTTGGTCACACGAAACCCAACTGTCGGAAACGCGCAGCCTATGGCAAATGTGCGTCCCTCGAGCACATGAGCGAAGTCTGTGCTTCTGACAAACCCCACTGTGCCAACTGCGGCAAGGACCAAATTCCGCATACGTCGTAGGACCGCATACGTGCATGCCCAGCCTACGCTAAGGAGAAGGAAATCATATCAATTAAAACTTCTAAAAACGTATCCTTCCGTGAGGCTCGAGAACTTCATAACGAAACCCAGCCAAAAATATCGCACGCATCGAAAGTGAAAGCTTCGTTGCACACTTATGTGATCGAGGAAATGACGGCTGTTCAGTTTCTGGAACTTCTGAGGTCGTTTCGCCTATCAGTTGTACCCTCAGCCTGCGCGCTAGACTCGCAGCCAGCACCCCAAACTCCATCTCCGAGCAGCCGGTGGTCGCCGTGCTGCCGGCCTCCTCGGCACCGGTTGGATCACCAAAGAATGACGGTTGGACGACGGCTCGGCGTGGCTGCAGTCCTCGCGCGCCGTCGGGCATTCCTTCGTCTGAGACACCACCGGTCTCATCGCAGAGACCCCTCGTCAGTGCCTGTGAGCGTGTAGCAGAGACGATGGAGCGTCAGGAAGCTGACAGACGCGCCCGTGAGGCTAAGTGGGCGTGCCTGGCTGAGCAGGAGCGGGCCAAGGCAGCCAATAGGCTGTCAGAAGCGGGCATGGAGTCCGCCCCCCGGAGCAACACTCCGTCTCCACGAAGACCGGTTGAGGCTCTACCTCGGTACCAGGTGGTGGGCAGAGGCTCAGTGATGGCCCCTCCTCCGCCACCACCACACACGGGATATGCTGGCACCAAGCGTATCCCATCTGGACCCCTGTCTCCAAGTGACGGGGGTAGCCCAAGGTCTCGCCCCAGGCTGGGGCACGGATCTGTGGAACAGGGTCCCAGATCTGAGATACCTGGCGCTTCACCTGGGGCAGCGTAATTTTTTAAATCTCATGTTTTTAGTGTGAGACCTTTTAACTTCCTTTAACACGTCCTTTTGAAGACGTGAAGAAGTTTTTTCAGTGGAATTGCAGGAGAGTAAGGGCTAATGCGCTCAACGTCCAGACTGAGGATGGCCGGAAGTGTTCCGCAGCTGTAGCTCTACAAGAAACAAAGCTGGCGCCGAACTCCTACTTCGCGTTAAAAGGTTCCGCCGTTTTCCGCAGGGACATGTCCGCTGACACTGTTGCGTACGGTGATGTCCTCCTGCCTGTTCATCACAGCATGCCAGGAGCCCACAGTGCATAATAAGAAGTCATGTGTCGGCTACTGGCCCCGAGTCGGTCACAGGGTTTGTTTGAGGAGGTCTTTAGGGGGATGAAGGGCTCCTCAAGGCCAAACATCAAGCCCTCGATTGGAAGGCTGAAGCGCACGAGGAGCTGGCTGTAACTCACGTGTAGTTACTCCGCCCGTAGAGCTGTGATCTCAGTTGTAAGCCAGACGGTCTCTTGTGCTCATTGTGGATCCCGAAACAGAGCGTTCTTCTCTTTCGGCCAGAGGTACCAACACCGAAAAGTCGGCTCCGTGTCGGTCTGATCTCTTGGGGCCCACTGTTCAAGCAGGGCCCGCGATTTGCATTGGTTGGGGCCCCTGCAACCATGCGGGGCTTCTGTATCAGTCAGGATCCCAGCGCCCAACAGATCGTTCCGTGTCAACAAGGGGCCTCGAGTCGGCCAGGGGAGCATTTGCTCAACGGGAACGGGGACCGGACCCCCAATCACAGGGGACCTCTTGCATTGGTCGGGGCCCTCTAACAATGAAAGGAAACATCATAACTCATGAGTGTTCACGTTAAGACAATGAAATTGTCCTGTGCTAGTCAGAGTCCCCAGTACCGAACGGCGGGCCCTGTAACGTAATTCCAGAGTGAGCCCGTTGAGCCGGACTGGAGTGTACGCGCCAATTATTGGATTACCTGCGGCGATCAAGGATGTTGCGTCCATGAGGGTTCCTGCGTCGGTCCGGGGACAACTGTGTGGGTCAGAAGGCCTTCCACGTCAGGAAGGGGCCAATGTGATATGATGTATCCCTTTAACGGCCCCCGGATCAACCAGGGGATGGAACGGAATAGCCCCTCAGCTCCTGAACGGAAACAGTAATGTGACCCTAGTGCTCCACTCAAGAGGCTTCCTTGTCTGGAAATAAGGGTCTCATTGGTATTGAAAAGAATAGGTCAAAATTAGTTTAAAAACGAACAAGGTTATCGCATGTTTGCCTGAAAAGTCCATTATTTTGCAGAACTAACTAGTGAAACAAATTACATGCAAAGATGGGAGGCTGTGCGCCCGAAATCCCGGAGAGAAAGTGCAGCGATGGTCTGAGTTGCAGTTTTCGGAAAACGGAACAGCGTTGGTCACTGTAAGTAACATCACGCGCCCCGCGCGAGAACGACCGTCGTGAAAAAGTAGTTCCGAATGTCTTTCAAAATCAATTCGCACCGTTCAGAAACAAAACAAGGTGTATCTTTTTCACAGGTTTAACGTTAACTTCTTGACAGATGAATAGTTGCAGCAACACAAAAAGTAGAGATTCTTCCTTCACCTTTCCAGTTCTACCACTAGATTTCAGCCAGCACCTCTTCGTGGTGCTGTAAATGCCAATCCGTTCTCAACATCGACCTAAAAATCGCACCGGTGACATATATACGTCCGGACTACGCTCTAAATGGGCGATCTGATGTCCTCAAACGTTGAAATGCTCCTCTTTCACAAGTGTCATCCTTTTTGTCCACCCGTTGGCCACAAGTTGGTCACTACGGGCCGCCACCGCGCAGCCGACGGCGACTGCATCGCCTGGCATGGATTTCTTTTCTTAGGTTTGCTAGCGCGCATGCTCATCAACCTACGTACGTAATTCGTGTCACTATTCGATTCTGAACGAATGCTGAACATTTCAGACAAGCATGACTTGGTCAAGTTAATACAAACTGTTGACCCATGTTGATCCAAAATCTATATTTGCGGAGTCCCGTAATATTTCTGCTGCTCTGTGGCAGATTTCATTCGATTATGATAAGTGGACAGTGATGCATTTGGGTAGTTCTGGCAACAAGGACATTAGCTATAAAATAGGAGGCCGAGAGGTGGACCAGATCGAAAACGAAAAGGACTTAAGGATTCTAATTTCCAGGGATTTAAAGGCTGAAAAGCAACGTGGGGCTGCTATGGGTAAGGCACCTGGGATGCTGGGACTTATTAACAGAAATGTCCATTACAAGGGTAGAAATATTGCCAAAAAGTTGCTCTTAGCGTACATCAGACCACGCCTAGAGTATTGTGTAGGGGTTGGTCCCCTGCTTCCACAAACGTATAGATAGGCTAGAGAGAGTACCGCCAAAAACAACTAGATGATAGACGGAATTGGTAACTTTGAATACCAGGATGGGCTTAAGGCCTTGGATTTGTATTCACTGAAATATCGTAGACTTAGAGGAACATGGTAGAGGTATTCAAGATTATGAAAGGGATGGGTAGACAAGGTACGTCTTCAAGGAGTGCTGGAAATTAAGCCAACTTAGAGGAAACCAGCTTTAATTAACAAAAGGTAGGAGTCGAACTATGAAGAGGCAGAGGCCATTTAGCCAAAGAGGAGTGAATTATTAGGATGGACTGCCAAACGAAGCTGCAGGAAGGCCCTCCCTAGCAACTTTGAAAATCATTTGGAAAAGTTTTATGGGCCTAAGTATCTCGTGTATAGCTAAATTAAGACAGGTCAGGTGGCAAGATTAGTTCAAGTGTGGGTGAGAAGCCTAGGCTTGGCCAAACTCGATGGGCCCTTTTGGCTCTTCGTTGGCTTGATGTCTATATCTCCTTATGTCTATCTGTTGTCTGCTCTAATATCTTTAAATGTGGAACATTCCCTTTACTACGATGCAGCGTGCGCAGCATAAAGATAGCGTACAGCGCACAGATGCAGTCCGCTGATCTGTGCTTCCCCTGCTTCCACCTAACCCACGTCCCCAGGGAACAGCGAGCCCACCCCAACGGACGGATGCATCGGTGCCCCCTCCCCTCCCCACACACACACGACCGCTCTCGCCCTCCCCACTTCCCCTAAAGACCTCGTCTGGGACAAGGGTTAAACGATGTCCGAGAGAGACAGCAGGCGACATTGGTGAAGCTCGTGAGATCACAGGCAGGAAGCCCTGCCGGACACACGAGACGCGACGCGCATGGGTGGCCGCGACAACAAATGGGACCGCACCTTTTTATGTTACGGGCACTTTCACCTTTTTCCCCACCCACCCGCTTGGCCTTTATGTGTTCTGTCAGGGCTATGTCGCGCACCCAAAAACTGGCCGCACGCCGCTCGCCGATCTGTGAAAGTCGCTTCACGCGGCATCGGGGCGTATAGCGTTGCAGCGGCGGCGCTGTTTTGCGCACGAGCACCGGCCCGGAGACAAATGCGGACTGCCAATCAGCATGGGCGAAAAAGCGATCGCTTGTGTAACTGCGTAGGCGCGCCCTTTTTACGCGACCACCCTTGACTGCATAATAAGCTGGCTTGGTCGGCGCCTGTGCCCGAAACTCACTCACTTCATTCGGACATCGTGCGCAGTCTGTTTGCTCTGTCATCGGCACCTTTTGGAACACTGATCAACCATTTCACCGATTTTTTTCAACACACAGCAGGCATAGATGGCCGGAATCTCCATTGCTTGTAGAATTGTGTGGCCACGTGGTGTGTGGAAGTGGCCAGGTCTCATTCTAAACCACTACCACAATGACACTAAAATTGCCAAAAGCCAGCCAAATTGCCAAAAATTGCCAGAACGCCAAAAGTTTGTTTTCTGGCTCGCCAAAATCTGCATGCGTTCTGCCCCACAAATTTTAGCATGACAATGTCAATTTAAATATAACTTTCGAGACGTAAGCTGCCTCAAATCAACTCTTGCCTTTCATGGCTCGGAAATATGATGTATTCGTCTATCCCTGGGTCTTTTACGCCCCATCGTCCATTCGTGGTCTCTTTTCGCTCAACAGCAAGCACGTTCATGCTTGAAAAGAATATCCACAAGGCCTCCGAGCCACACCCCACACCTCCGAACACCTTTCGCAGTACCATTTACTAGCGCCACCTATAATTAACACATCGGAGATGTCGCTATTGTCGGTCCATTTCTGATCGGGTGAGGGCGTGTTATGGCAAAACATCGCTCTCGATGGGCCTTTTATAATCATTGTTGGGGCTTTCCGCCTCACAGACCGCCAGAGCCTTTGCGAAGCGAGATAGCTGCATACAGTACCATGCGTGATGCAGTAGTGGCGGGACAGGGACCCGAACCTAGGATAGGCAGGTCCAGCGTCCACCGCCCTGATCATCATAGCGCCACGCTGCTCATGTGTAGCTCTCTCGATCCGTCCCTCTTATCCCCTTTCTTGTTTCATCCTGCGTCCTCACAATACCCCGCTTGACCGGGGCGGGCTGCATGCGTCAGCCATGAGTGGGCCGAGAGCCCCGTGGGAAGGGGAGCCCCGGCTGGTTACCCAGCGCGCATGCGCGGGCTAAAGCTCGGCGGTTGGCCCCCAGGCGCACGCAAGTCTGCCCCACCGTCAACCATTTTCCTTCATCCCATTGCCCTGAAATGATCATTTCTGGTCGAAAACGCTCTAATCCAAAGAAAAACACCCTTCAATGCACAGCGTGACTGCTTTCTTTGGAGGCATACAGACCAATGGGGCCATTCCATGATTGACGGACAGACCAATGCGACGGAAAATGTGACCCTCGTGCATTACAACGGACGCAGTGCTATAAATCTCGTTTCGGACGTCGTCTCCGATTTTTAAAAGGGTCTCGATATGGGGGGGGAGGGGTCAAGTTGGGCGACAGACATACTGTGAATGTAACTGCAATTTTTTCAGCAATAAACTACGCATTTTATTAGAAATGTGTGAGCAACGTTTGAATGGGTGAGCGTTTGTGGGAAGTCGGAAGTAAATATGATATACTATCAAAATCATACGTTGAAGAGCTATTTGTCCACAGGACATCGTAGCAGGGTAAATCGACTGAAAGTTTGCCGCTTAAAAAAATGGGCTGGCACCACGCACTTTCTTTTTTGCGATTCTTCAACTATGGCATCCAGTGTTTACGGCCAGTCCCAAAGCGGACGCGTAAACTGTGTCACAATAGAGGTGTTCACCTCGCAGATATTCCGACAAAGCACCTGAGTCTCCATTCTGCCTGCCCTCGTGGCCACCAACTTTTAACGGTAATACAAACCACGTGCACGAGGCCTTCGATCTTATGATGGAGGGGGGGGGGGGGGGGGGGCGGAGGAGCGAATGCTCAGGGAATTTGATGAGGTGTATAGTCTTGGCCACCGACCTTGGATGAGAACATTTAGGCATGCATAAACACCGTTTTATTGCCAGGCACAAATTTAAGCTGGTGAGCTGCGGTATAGGGCTTACTTATTTGCTTTGCGCAGTTTCCTGCCGAAACATGGCGACAGCACAGCTGCCAACGCGGGCGCGCGCTTTTGACACGTAAATGGACTGATAAGCTATTTAGTGGCGGATCCAGAATTTCAGGGCGGGCACGCAATATTGGGGGGCCCCTGAGTTTGCCCCCCCCCAAAAAACGCATTCCGGTCATTGAATTTTAAGATTTTAAGACAAACGTTTGGTGACTGCATACTCTTAATAATGAAGATAACCCAAGATCATCGTACATGAACTATTGGACCTAGACGATAAAGAGTGCTCGGGCAGGCTAACAAAAAGGGCCAGGGAGGGTGTGAAGGACAGGAGTGAAGGGACAGGAGTGTGGAGGGAAGGACAGGAGTGAAGGGACAGGAGTGTGAAGGGAGGGACAGGAGTGTGGAGGGAGGGACAGGAGTGAAGGGACAGGAGTGTGGAGGGAGGGACAGGAGTGAAGGGACAGGAGTGTGGAGGGAGGGACAGGAGTGAAGGGACAGGAGTGTGGAGGGAGGGACAGGAGTGTGGAGGGAGGGACAAGAGTGAAGGGTCCTCGCAAGTGAGCCCAGAGGAAAGAGCCATAGATTTACGTAGAGGGCCCGCGAGCATCGAATGCCCCGGTAGGTTGCTTTATATGGGCCCCAGCAACAGCACAGGGTCCTCCGAGCAAGTGGCAAGAACCGAATACAAATATGAAGGGTCCTTGAGCAATCGAGTACACCTCGGCATAGGGGCCCCGGCAATAGTGCATATTTTTCAGCAGGTAGCTGTGGTCGGTTAGCATTCCACGTCCGCGCCCGCACCCCCTCTGACTGTCCGCGGCGCACCTAAAGCAATACCAGCCAATACACTGCATCGTCGTCCGTACGGCTCACCGGCTATTGGTTGGGGAATGCAGCGTGGAGTTGGAGATGACTATCTCTGTCGCTTGCGAGGTCGGACTGTGCGCGGGTTAGATCGCCTTTTTACATCCAATGGTTTAATGAGAGGTGATGGAGTCTTGAGAACTGGGGCTTGCCAAGGGAAATTTTCCGTTATGCCTGAAGTTTTTAACAGGCATTTCGCATGCTCTGGTACGATAATCCCGATTGTGGAAGGTGAAACTATCAAAAAGCTCGGCAAAAAAACATCACGCGGCCCAGAAAATCCGGGCTTTGGCCAAGGTGGTCGGATTTAACTTTTTCAGTATTGCGATGGGTTGGGGCCGAACATGGTCCGATAGAGCAAACTTTCCCAAATGTTGTCATCTTCCCGAATTCTAGCCACAAGACTTAATATGACAGAAATGAAAACGATTAAGATACATGCATCTTTTGTCATTGTCACGCGTCTGGTGCACGAGTCCTTGATGTTCTTGAGACCGGATAAAATTTGCGTGGCCCTGTAATCTCTCCCTTCGTGCGGACCCATCGCCTTCATCCGAAAGGGGTGCCAAGGACTCACATGCCCTTTCTTTGATCATGCCCCATGTGGCCCACCACAAGGCAATATGATCGTGCCCAGCGACTTAGGGGCACAGTCCATGCCAATATCAACTCCATGTCCCATCGAGGACCTTTTGGAAGGCACGCCATGAACAAACGCACGGTGTCAATACGAAAATTCACTAACGTATCGCTGGTTATGCCCTCCGCTAGCAGTAACGCTGCGCGCTACACCACGCCCCCAGCGCGCACCAGCCAGAGGCGTCCTGGCGTTATAACATTTGTATTGATCCACTCAATGTCCACGAGCAGTGACACCCAAACAACACGTACACACTGCATCACCGAGAGTCTCGCCCCAGCGCGGGACAGGCGTGTCAGTCCGTCACTGCGCCGCACGACCGGCGTCCAGCCAGGCCCCGCCTCGCCAGGTCACGGCCGGGTCACGGCCGGGTCACGGCCGGGTCACGGTCCGGTCACGGCGCGTCATGGCCGGGTCACGGCGCGTCACGCGGTCCGCCGTGACGTGGCGGCCGCGACGACTAGAAAAACCCAGTTCGGCCGGCCGCACGTCCCTCTGTCGCCACCGCGCCGCGGTGGACGACACGTGATCACTGCGCCGGCGCCGGCGGCCTGTGCGCCGAGCGACGCGTGACATCGCCCCAGGCGGCGGCGCGGGAGTCCGTGGATGGCGACCTCCGGGGCCGAGCTGATCACAGCGCCCCGGCCCATGCTCTCATCCACGCCGATGCCGTCCTGCGGAAGAATACACGCTGGTTAACAATCGGATCCGTCATTTGTGCGCGGATGATGGGTCCCAGCAAAAGATGGGTCACTTTCACAACATCAAACCTGGAAAACTACAACTTGGCGGAGGTCCACGCCACGTTACCGAGTGGCTGCGTAGAGCCGCAACCCACGCCGCTCTGCACCCTCCCGGGCCATTCAGCGACGCCGGATTCCGGATGTCACTTGGTGAAGCCCAGCGTTCACCTCGCCCACACAGGGGTGTTGCCTGCAGGCGTATCGACAAGACGATACCTGGCATAACCTACAGGAGAG